CATAGATACCTATATTTGGATGATGGAGAATGAAATATTGATAATATGCTGTATTTATTTAGATCGCAAAAAAGTTTGTTTACTGCGTATAGAAACCTATATTTAGGTGTGGGTGGAGATGGGTGTATGGGTGTGGATGTGGGTACGGATAAAGAGAACACTAATACCCACACTCACAGCCACACCCACCCACCCACACCCACACCCACACTCACACACCCACACCCACCCACACCCACACACTCACGCCCACACCCACACCCGACACCCATACCCACACCCAAGCTCTATCGAATACACTATACCACTATATCGAGCAATTCGGCTTTTTGGAATAATGAAGCAGTGAAGATAACGCTGTATTGGCATGTTGTCTGTGAGCATATACGCCTCAATGTTTTTCAATAATTCATAGAAATCTGGTATGATTCGATGCGCCTTTTCACAAGGAATCCGAATATGGTCTTAGATTTTATTTTTGACCTTGTTTTGGTATACAAAAGGACCGAAAATCGTTGGGAAAACGGTGAAAAAAAACACGTTTTTCCGTTTTTAGTGCTTATAGTATTTTGCGTCTATCTCCGTCAAAATAAAAGTTTCTTTAAAATTTGTTTATCAAAATGCTTAGAATTAAAAGCTCTACAAACACTGAAAATTTCATCACAATCGGAGATCACATTGGTATACCGTGGTTCAGATCTGCTGGAAATACCCAATAATGATTGATTCAAGTTAACGACGACAACTGCTCTAAAAATAGGGAACTGCAATTAGATCGTGCACATGTATTGAGGGTGTGGGTGTGGGTGTGTGGGTGTGGGTGGGGTGTGGGTGTGGGACAAGATAGATAACAACACCCACACCCACATCCCACACCCACACCCACATCCACACCCACACCCACACTCACACCTACCCACACCTTCAAGTACTACAACATCAACAAAAGATAATTTAGCATCTGGTGGTAGATTACTTTAATCTAGAATGAATCTATCTACAATTCGACCTTTATATAAAGCTAGTCAATCGGAAAAATTCATTCCAGATTCATTATCATCATCAAGTAATAAAATATTACTTGGTCATGAAGATGAAGTACAATTAATAAGATCATCAACACAAATGGATCATGGTGACATTGGTATAATCTGTATTTGATTTAAATTTTATAATCATTCTTTGTTTTTTGTTTTTCCTTCTTATACAGATGATGAAGAATTTTCATTATGTAAAGATGAATCATTGGATATGAATAATGTTCCAAAACCTGTTACACTAAATATGGTACTAGCGTCAAGTAATATGTTTCAAAGGACAAATACATTACCATCATCATATTCACCATATGATTCATCAAATAATCAAGGTTCAAAAGGATTATTAAATGATCCCAACGTAGGACATATACCAAACCGAATCAAAAATACGCAACATCAAGTATGAATATGGGTGTGAGTGTGAGTTGATGAATCAAATACTAACTCCTACACCCACACCCACACCCATTCAACGTCTTGTAAAATCAACGCAGCTGCTTTGTTTATACATAATAGCTAGAAAATTTCTTACCGTCTGACATAATTTACAAATATAAGCAATACTACTATCGCATTCATCGAAAAATGTTAAAAGTTCGGCTAATTTCATTACATCGTGTTTTATTTGTGAGTTAAACATAGTAATTTTAGGAGTGGTAGTAGTTACTTTTATAGAGTTTTTTGGTGTTGAATGGTTTTCAAAATAGTGTCGCACATTTGATCAGATGTTTTATTGTTAAGTTGTAGATCTTCACTTCAGCTATAACTTTGCTCCCAAGGTTATTTTTCGATATTCTTCATGAACTGAGTTATGGGACGTAGATGAAGTATTTTGATGTATTTAGTAGTTACATTTAAAAGTAACTACTTTGTATACGGCCCATAACTCAGTTCATGAACAATATGGGAGAATGACCTTGGGAGCAAAGTTATAGCTAAAGTCAAGATCTACAACTTAGCAACAAAACATCTGATCAGATATGCCAAACTATTGTGAAAACCATTCAAAACCAAAAAAGTATATAAAAGTAACTAAAAGTAAATATGCCACCCCTAAGTAATTTCAACATCCGTAGTTCATTGATCAACATTTTCATCTGCATCACTAACTGTTGGACTATCCAATGTAGCTGTTATGTCACTATTGTTGTTGTTATTGCTTGAATGCGATAAAGAAAGAGAATTGATGATTGTTGATGGTATCATATCATTATCGCTTTCATCATTAATCATTGAAACCTGATCAGTTTGTAATGTTTAGTGTTATTTTTCATAATTAATAGTTTCGTTCTTATCATTTGATTCATAATAGAAACATATTATTAATAACAAAGTGATACATTAATGCATTCAGCTTTTAGATATCTTACATATCGACACTTTTCATGCACAATACTTGTTCTTTTCCAATGCGATACTATTAAACTTAAGAAGAGGTTGAATCTAGAATGGCCCTAATATTGTCAATGAATTTCATCAGGACTTTGAAATCTCGCTTCCTACAAAATCTGATGATTATATTAAAAGGTTGATGTGAGTAGTTCATACATGGCCATGCCACTATGCCCAAATAATGCATAACTTAAAAATTGAATATATCTGTCCAGATAAGCCATCAGTAGTTCGTATTTTAAATTCGTCGGTTTCTCGGTGAAAGTGGTCATTTGACTCGAACATGGTCAATCTATTTGCTCAACAGTACACACCTTTCCATTGTTAGAATTTACGAAAAAATAAATGAAAATATTAAGAATATTTAATAACATTAAAATAGAGAAAGGAAACAATAGTAAGAAGTAAAAAAAAGATTGTTGTAGAATGTGCTAGAGAATAAGTAAGATTCATGTTATTTAGTGGCATCTATATAAGATGATGGAATTTGGTAATCGATAATGGTAATGGCTGATTGACGAAAAGATTGTAAATTAAAAGAAGAAGAAAAGAACAGATACAATATTTGTTAAGTTCAATTAATGAAAATCATTTTAAAATTGACCTTAATCAACTTCGAGTAAATAATCTATGTAGATTTAATTTATTTATTTTAATTGAATAAGATTGTATTTAAGAAGCCATCTGGAATCTTTGAATTGATCGAAGTTGTTGAGAATGAAAGATATGGACAAGTTTATAAAGTTATTTTTAATTGTTTTGTTTTATTTCTTTTATTTTTTATTCTTTTAAAAGGGTCGTCTTACAAAAACAAGTCAATTGGCTTCAATTAAAGTTATGGATGTTACAGAAGTTAGTTATGAATATATTTTTTTATGTAATCATAAATTTTTTTATTGTTGTTCTAAGAGTCAAGAAGAAGAAATCAAATTAGAGGTTAATATTTTAAAAAAAGTTTGAAATTCATTTTTTTTTTTACATATAAAATCTTATTTTTTTTAAAGGTATTCAAATCATCGAAATATTGCAATGTATTATGCAGGATTTATTAATAAATCTTTTTCAGAACGAAATGAATATGATCAATTATGGGTTATTATCATTTAATATTTTTATAAACGAAATATTTTTTTTTCTTTTAAAGTTGGTTATGGAATATTGTGATGCTGGATCAATCACACATTTAGTTAAATCAACAAAAGGAAATTTTTTAAAAGAAGAATGGATATCTTATTAGTAAAGAAATTTTTAATGGTTTAAATCATCTTAATTTAAATAAAATAATTCATAGATATATCATGGAACAAGTGGGATTTAATAATAGATTTATTTATTTATTTACTTCTATTATTTAAAGAATGTTCTATTAACTGAAAATGCTAAAGTTAAATTAGTTGATTTTGGTGTATCAGCTCACTTCGATCGAATAATTGGACGAAAAAAAATACTTTTATTGAAACATCTTATTGATTTTTATTATTTTTTTAATCAATTGATATCATTTTGGCATTGTTTTTTATTTGGAATGACCCCAGAAGTGATTGCTTTCAATGAAAATCCTGTAGCAATCTATGATAATAGAGTATATTCTTTCGAATCTTGATTTAAGAAAAACATTTCTTGAGAGTAAAATTGAGGTAAGAGTGCGAATGTCGGTCATGTGTAACCTATACTCTGAATAATCTGAATCAATAATGTTATAAACGAAATTTTGAGATTCTACCAGAAACTGAGAAATGGCTAATTGCTGTAGGATGCAGATAAGACACGTTCATTTTCTATCTCCTTTCAGATAAAGTTCAAAGAATGTCCTATGTTAGAGTCGACAACGGTGAATTGATTATCAGAGTGCCGATCGAACCGGATGGTACAATATCTATTAACACATTCAATCAGCTCTTTCCAAGTGCTACAGTATTCTTATTTAGAATAAATCGTTCGAATGATTGGGCTGTGTATGTTGTTAAATATATTCTATGAGTTTTTTCCGTTTGAAACGATGTCGAAACGAGTGAAACAACGAAATAATAGAAATGCGTTTCTACTATTTCGTTGTTTACACCCGTGTGGACACCATTTCGGACAAAAAAAACCTCATGGGATAGTGAAAATTCTACTGCAGTACGTTAAGAATTTGCCATTGTAGCGTGGAAAAAGATGATAATGGGAATTTCTTAGCACCAAATAGCATTTGGAGCGGCAACGCAGTGTATAAAGCGTATGATGCTCGTTGTAAGTAAACACAAAAGAACTTCACATTTTACTGATTGTAACTTTTTAGCTCCTCATCAACGATCATCACAATCATCATCATCATCAATCACATGGAACCACTTTTTATCTACACTTGGAAGTAAATTTTTTCATTACTGTTTATCAATAAAATCTAATCAGTTTTTTGAAACGAAACAGAGAAAGAATTAAGAAACATCGACTTGTTTTGTCTTTTTTGAACAATAGATTTGTTATGGCCTCCATCATCAGATCGTACTCCTAAGAAAAATCAGTAATCATTAACATGATCATCATGTAAAATTCAATTTTGTGTCTGTCTTATTTAAGGCCTAATAAAATCGTATTTGCAAAATGCTTCAAATTAACCCCTTCTATTTATTGCAACATGTTTGTTTATTTTGTGTGATTGTGCTTTTTAATGCATATTGATTTTTTTCTTGCTTACGCACAACCCATATCTTATTACCTCGCACTATATACCGATTAAGTAGCTTTTTATTTGAGGATTTTATTTAAATTATTTTAGCCATGTTGATGCTGTGGTTTTTATCCGCAATATCATCGTTATACGTGAATATTTATAAAGCATTGATTAAATTATGTTCGTTGTCGTTATGGACAAGAATCTTGTTGGTTGTTGGTGTGTCTTTGATTTGTATTGGTCTTGGTACAGTAACTCTCAGATGGGTTTGCAAACAAGTAACAAATTGGTCGTACGGTTACGATGACGAATGACAATGACTTCATCACCAATTATTTTTTTTTGCTCTGTTTTCGAAAGAAAAGGTCTTTGCTAATCTCTTATTATTTAACTTATATATCAGATTCGATTTGGACTACTTTTTCTGGAATAGAATTCGATTCGACTCACGTAAGTGAAGAAGATTCAGGAACTAAATCCATTAATGCTGCTGGTATATTATTACATTTACAAAAATCTATCTTTGTTATTTCATCATTTATACTTCAAAAACTATTGGGATTAACTAAAATTCTTAGTGACCAATTAAAAAGTAGTTCTGTTTTTCCGCTACCTGATGATTTTAATTTTTTTCTTTTCAATTTCTTCTAAGACCCGTCTTTAGATTATGCTCGAGGAGAATATCTTATATCTTCAATAATTCAACAAATATCAGATTTAAAAAATGAACAATCATTTGCTGATATTTATTGTCAAATTACAGAGTTTTGTCAATTGAATAATATTGATTTAGTTGAGCAATACAGACCACGTCGAACAACAGCTGTTTCTGCTCGATTTAATGAATGTATAATTTCATCTACACTTGGTCAACGCGAAATACTATCGACATCGATCGATTTTTGCCACAAGCATTGCTATTCTGTAATTGATTGTATTTTAATTGAATTGAAAGATCGTTTTTCCGTAAAAACCTTATCATTATTGAAAAGTCTTTCTACAATCTATCCATAAAGTGCAAACTTTTTAAATATCGATGATATTCAACCGTTTTCTGACCATATAGATGGTGATTTAAATGCAATTAAGAATGAGTTTATGGTGATAAAACCAATGATTAAAAGCAAATCAACATCTGATGTTATTGAATTTTTGAATGAATTATTACCGGTAGCAAGTGCATTTCCAACCACCATTCGAATGATTAAAGCTTCAATAACAATGCCCATATCTCAAGTTACTTATGAAAGAAGCTTCTCCAAAACGAAGTTAATCAAAACATATGCACGAAATTCTATGAATGACAGTCGTCTAAGTGATTTAACTGCTTTAGCAACAGAACGTTCATTTGAAATAGATTTTGAAGAAGTAATAGATGTTTTTGCGAATAATCACAAGGACAGTAGAATTATTTTACGTTGATATCACTTTTATTATATTTTTTTCCATATTAAAGATATTCTTACCATAGACTTTTCTTTGATGCATTTAACAAAAATATCAAGGCACATGTTGCTCTGCAACATGCATATATACAGCAAACACGTCGAACACATCAGTCTAGGCATAAAAAGCACATGTATTACCTTTCCAATGCCTCCAAAAATTGGGTGGACTGAGCCCACCCGGGAGAAAAATCCTGGCACCGCCTCTATTAATAACCAATAATTTTACTCACTTCTTCATATAATATTATGTTATATACATGACAATACTTAATCACTAGCTTATCTACGCATAATAAATGTATCTATTCTCTTCACTGCTTATATTAATCACTAATCTATTATATTATAACTAATAATTAATAACTTTAGTTCACAAAAAAGAAAAAAGAAACTTATTATCGTTGATGTTATTACCTTTAAAAATTGGTTGAGTTGATGTTGTGAGAGATAATCCACCCTACCACCAAGGTCGACCCTCTTCGCATTAACTTTACCAACATTTTCTTTGGTGATCAAACAATCACGAGAATACATCAACATGCACTGATCGTAACATTCTATGCTTCCATCAATTTACCAAATATCAACAACTCACATTAATCCATATCAATATCTTCTCTTATTTTTCTATGTATACTTAATTTAATCTTTCACTGTCATTTCTGATGATGTGTTCAGTGTACAGCACGAAAGCTTGAATCTTCCCTCTTTTTATTTCTGTTTGAAATAAATATTTAATAAAATGTTATTTACAGCAGTTATGTCTTTCTTTTCTTACTATTCAAATATTTTGCTCAATGGTAAGCACCTATTTGTAGTTTGTTATGTGATCGACGAACAATCAATTAAACAATAACTCATAGTACACAGTTAATCAAATATTTTATTTTATTTATAGCTGAGATTTGTGTTTCACTATACCATTGAGGAACACTTGATCCAGAAATAATTCATATGAAACAACTATTCGAATATCTTGTTCAATGCACAGTGCGTTGTGGTTGGTTATATCATCAAGAAACACTCGGTCAACGAATAATGCATAGCAAATAGCTATTCAAATGTTTTGTTGAATTCGAAGCAAAGTTTTGTTCTTGATTACATCCTCGAGAAACACTTGACGAAAAAATAATTCTTAGGAAACAACTATACAAAAATTTTCTTGAGTCTAAAGCAAAGATTTGAAGTCAATTGTATCATGAAGGGACACTCTGCCGAGGAAAAATACATACCAAACAAAAAAATCTTATATTTGCTTTGATTCAAAGAAAAGAATATATTTAACGCTATCACAGGAGAGCATTTGATCAATGAATAACTCATAGGAAATAAGTGTTCAAATGTTTTGTGGAATTCAAAGAAAACATTTGTTGTTGATTATATTAACCAACAATTCAAATATTTTTCGCCATTGGAACCAGCCATTGGGATTCGATTATATCATCGAGGAACACTTCATCAAAAAAACAATTCGCAACAAAGAACCATTCAAATATTTTACTCAATCTGAACGCAAGATTTTTATTTTAATGTGTCATCAAGGAGCACTCGATGAAGAAATAGTTCAAATCAAACAACTATTCGCAGTTTTTACTCATTTTTAAGCAACCATTGGTATTTTATTGCATCATAGATTCATAGCACGCACCTATTCCAAAATATTGTTGAATTTGAAGAAAAGATTTTTAAATGATTATAGTGTTGACGAACATTCAATGAAGAAATACTTCATATTAAACAACTATTGAAATATTTTATTCAGTTCAAAGAAAAAATTTACAGTTGCTTATATGATCGGTGTTGAAATCGAAAACTTTGTAATAAACGAAGAAGTCGTAAGTTCGTCCCCAATTGGGTGATGCGGAGCTTATTCAAAAAAGAGATTATCAGTTTTTCAGCTTTTTTGTTGAATCGCTCAGGAACGAAATCCAACATCATCGGATTGCTTCCTTTTTTTTGTGCTTCAAGTATTTTTAGACCACGGTTGTGACGGTATTTGCCAGATGTTCAGAGTTTGAAGGTGCAGACGACTTGACACAATTGATGTCGAAATCTGTCTTAGTTCTTGCTTCTTTTTCCTTTTCTTTGAGGGAAAAGTCCGACTTGAAAAATGGAATAGCAGTTGGCTTGATGAGAATCATAATGAAAACTTATTGGAGGGATTTCGTTTAAACCTTGAGAATGTTTTCGTGTTTGTAAAGTATTGACAAAACCATTAGCTTTAGAAATAGTATCTGAGTTACGTTTAGATTCACCGAAGTTGAAGGCTTAAATTATACTTTTGGACATATCTGTAGCTAAGAAAACAGCTTTTCTTTCAAGCATTGAAATACTTGTGACATTTACTGAGTATCACCAAAAATACAATGGAGTCACTCACGAATATCAATTCAAAACTCATAGACACCATCATTGGTTTGGCTCCGAATAGTCACAGAGATCACTTACTCCTTGATAGCTGAACAGAAGTTATTGAAACTATCTTCTACTAACAGTGGAAATTTACCGATAGATAGTTAATCAGCAACCTTGGCTCGATCAATTCATCGAATCGATCTGTTTAAGATGTCTAGTGCTGATCAGATGAACGAGGAAACGGTACATTCTCGTATTCTTTCTATTTCGTAGTATCCTTAAGGATAAAGAGAATATTACAGTTTATCGTTTCCCTCTTCAATAAAATTCTATCAGAGAGCGTTTTGAGCAATTTCTCAGATTGGAACTGGAACTGATCATGCCGACCTTCATTTACGTGACCTGCAATTTCTGTGTGATTATTGAATAACCTAATAATAGTTTAGCAGCTGTATCGTCCAATGAAGCTGCTTGTGTTGTGTAGGCCGTTTTCACCAACATAAAAAAAAAATGATCCAATATTCATTTTGCTGCTCTGCTTCATTGCTGCTAATTGTTTGTCGGCGTTTGAGAATAAAGTGGTAGATGTGTGTAGGCAAGTGTCTGACTGATAGCGCCATACAACTATGCTTTGGCTTTATAAGCGGTGTCCCGGAAGTTCTGTAACGAATGCAAGAACGATTAATTTCAAAATCGTTACAGAACTTTTGGGACAGTCCTTATATACCTCGGTCGCCTAGCAAAGAGAAATTTGCAAAATAATATTTGTTTTTATGAATGGCGAAAGAAATGCGTTTGTTTTTTGCTCACAGCGAGTGATTTTTTCTCGTAGGCAATATGTGCATATCGCTACTACTGAGGAGAAAAATGGAATATATATTTTCATTGTCATGTCTCTCTATTCACCTGAAAATTGAGCCCTATCCGCATGTAGATGGACTTTTTCACTTTCTTTTCCAAACCCATGTGACTGTCAATGATGAAGAAAAGAATCGTTTTATCAACGATTATGCATCTATCAAATTTATGTAGTTATCAGGTATTTTTTATTCTGTCCAAATCTACAAGGACGTCGTTTAATCATTATTTCAAAGAGAACAGCAAGAGAGAGAGAGAGAGAGAGAGAAACGGATTGACGTATTGACTATTATTGAACGTGTTGATAATAACGACTAAAAAAAGCAATAGAGTAGAAGGCATTTGATGAGCGAGAGGCCACGAAGACGATGCACAAGTAAAATAAAAGTTTATTCAGGTGTGATCAGAACCAAACAGAGAATAGACGAGAACGTGTTTGTTTTTCTCGCTCTCCCTCTCTTTTGATTTTTCATCTTCATACACAGACATGCTAATAAACGCACAACGTGAATTTTGAATTAACAGAGAAATAAACTTATTTATAGTTGAAAAATATGTGACAGATGAATTTGGTATTTATTTGAGATTGGAATAGTATTTTTGTAATTTTCTATAAAGAAATATCGTTAACGTAAAAACATAAAAATATTTTTTATATAGTGTATAAGTATTCTTTTTTTGTTTTTTTCTGCAATAATTATAAACTTTCGTTATAATTTTTTTCCAAATAATAAGAACACGAAGACTTGGAATGATTGCTATAATTTGATTGAAGCATAAATATTTTCTTTTAACATAGTGAACAAATGTTTGGAATGATTCGTGACTTTCAACAATTCATGAATAGAATTTTTTTTGAACTTATTATTGATAAAAAATTTCCATTCAGAATTCTAAAATAAATGATTAAATAGTAAAAACTAGAGTTCACTTCAGATATTTTACATTGTTTAAAACAATTGATTCAAATGCATGACGAGAAAGGACGGAATGAAGGAGATTTTTAAAAGTAAAGGTGCCTCATTATTACATATATGTCGTATCAATACGATGTGGGAGCATTATAAATGATTATAAGTACTAATAAAATTTAAACTTCATTTTTTTTCTATGAATCATGTAATAAATGGCATATGACAAATAATAGTTCTTATAGAAAAATTTAGTATTTAGTGGGTGTCATTGACAGGGGCGGCGCGAGCGGGGGGGGGGGGGGGGGGGGGGGGGCCCCCCCCCCCGTTTTTAAATTTTCGTTTTTTTTGCTCAACAATACCTCAAAATTTGAGTTTTTTCCACATTTTCTCCGTTTTTTCGAAAGTCCCCCCCCCCCTGCTTTGACCTCTTCGCGCCGCCCCTGGTCATTGAATTGCTGAAATGCAAAAACTACAATAGATGAATATTTTCAAGATCATACAATAAATAATTATCTTCTATTCCAGTAATGTATGACTCCTACTAATCAAAATAATAGAGTATTCAGAAAACTAAAATGTACACAAAAAAAAATCGTTGATTCTTTATAAGTAAAATATAAACGTTAAAAAAAACACATTTTTTTTTATTGTTGTATTTAATGTGAATCTATTTTGTAAACTCTTGTCAAAATGAATTATTTCATATTGTTTAGGAATCTTTATTTCTATTATAAAATCTATTTTTCTTGTGTGAGAGAATTTTTTCAAAGCATTGCGTATATTCTAAACTCAACTGAATTCTTATATCAATTTTGATAGATAGATACAAATCAATATTGTACTCCTCATTCTTGCTCTGTAGCAATTACCTTGCCGAAATAAAATTGATTTTTTAAACTAACTACCTTATAAGAACGATGCAAAGTTAATTTAACACGCTTCGTTTCATCTTATTTATAGTCAATTAGAGAGTGTGAGTATGAATTCAGATGAAGTGTGCATGAAAAATTGTTTTTGTCGGTACAGCTCATCCACTTTTCCTCTTACACACAGCTTATATCTTTCTCACCAATTAATGATCAGACATTATATATATCGATTATTATTTCTCTTTGGTTACTTGTTTTGTTTTGCACTTTAATTGTATTACGAAGATTATGAATTCAAATAAAAGAGAATTTTTCATTCTGAACTCTAATTTCTTTCTTGAACTAAGTTTAATTTTGTTTTTTAATCAATATATCATACACATAACAGAACAAAAAAAAAAACAAGAAACAAATATAGACCTTAACATACATATATAAGCACAAAAAAATATATAGAGATATATCTGACTTTATAATAAAGAATGGCACACATCCAAAATCAATGATGATTATGCCTTAGAAGAGTAATTGAATTTTTTTTGTTAATATTTTGAAATGTTTTCATTATTCATTTTCACTAACTTCAGGTGATGCTTCCATTTTCATAATTCGCCGTTTTTTTACAGTCGTTCTTTCATTATCAGAAGATTTGTCTTCAATGTTTTGTTCATCATCTTCAATTTCACTACTTGCTGTTCGTTTTCGTTTAGTACTCGTATCGATTTCATTAGTATTTCGACCTTCTCCTCGTAATGTTCGACCACCTTTCATATGTCCTTTAATAAGAAACGAAAAAAAAAAAAAGCAGAAAATTCGATAAAATAGTCAGCATAAAATGAATTAACCTTTAACATGAACAGCATTTGCTTGAATTTCAAGTAATTCTTTTTCAGTGTCACGTTTCTTACGAAATTTTCCACATTCTTTAATTGATAAATTACCTAAATTAAAAAATTTTAATGAAAGATAAATAGTATGTTTGAATATCTAACCTGTATAACCAGCTTTATCAAAAAGTGATTTAAGATAATCAATTTTAGCTTTATTGGATCGAAATTCATCTAATTCATTTTTTTTAATAATAAATCGAATACCAGATATTCGAAGTAATTTTTTTAAATGTTCAATACGTGCTTGTGCTTGATCACTTTTACTTTTTCTTTGTGATGATTTTTTCGTATCATCATTTGTTGTTGTTTGTTTATCTTTATCTTGACTTGGTGATAAGTTTTTTGTATCATCATTTGTTGTTGTTTGTTCATCTTTATCTTGACTTGATGATGATTTTTTTGTATCATCATTTGTTGTTGTTTGTTCATCTTTATCTTGGCTTGGTGATAAGTTTTTTGTATCATCATTTGTTGTTGTTTGTTTATCTTTATCTTGACTTGGTGATGAGTTTTTCGTTGTGTTCATTGTTGTTTTTTTTTCTTTTTTACTTTTTCTCTTTTTTTTTGGTTTAATTTTTTCTTGTTTAGATTCATCATCTGATGATACTAAACTTGATCGTTTTGATACTTGTTTATTTTCTTCATCCGAAAGATTAACACGTGGAATACGAAGTGAAAATTCTTTTGATGTTGGTGAAGAATCATCATCTTTTTCATTTTCTTTATCTTCATCAATATCACTACTGAAATCATCTAGAAATTAAATATTATATTCAATTTAGATCAAGATTTTCAAAGAAACTCTAACGAAAGAGGCGAAACAAAAGTTCAAAAGGATTTGCGACTATACTGTGTGCTTTCTGAGTTTTAAGTCTTCAACCACGAGCAAACAATTAAATAAAGCAATATTGATCGGAGATTTTGCTACGAGTAAGTATCATTTGAAAAGCACAATTCCTGGTTTGACATATGAATAATCAAAAGGGTATGGGTGTCCTATTCTGAGTAAAGATGTGCGAAACTAAGTATTTTTGACTTTGATTCGAGTAACTCTTTTTTTTTGGTGGCTCTGTACATCTCTATTTTTGATTTTTGCCAATGAGATACGAAAGTTTCTTGATTACTCAATATCTTGACAAGAAATCATTTTCTTTTTTTTTCAAGCAAAAATCTCACAGTAAGCTAATAACAATAAGATCTATTTATACTAAAATTTTCAATCAAGTCTGCCTTAGTCAGTCGTTTGTCTTTAGTTGAAAATTCTAACAATTTACATTGGCCTTAAGAAATGTACGTTTATTTTTCTAAGCCTATAGCTATGTTAGAAATTCATTTTTTTGTTCCAAAAACTACACATTCAGACTAAAAGATGTCTTTTATAATCGATATTCACTGATATGCAAATTCAGAACATCTAATACTTACAAGATGTAGGTTCTTGTGATGTTTTTGTTATTTCGTTTGATTCTTCTTTATTATCATTGATTTCTGTTGTTAATGGATCAGTATTTTCTTTATCGATTTCTATATTTGTTAGTGTTGTTGTAGTTATTGTTTCAACAAAAGATAATTTTCTATTTGATCGTATTGGTTTAGTTGAAGCACTTTTAATCATCGCATCAAGTTTACTTGTATTTGATTCAACTGATGAACGTGAATATGTTGTTTGACGTAATAAATTTGATCGTTTAGCAAGCCAATCACTTGAAACACCAAATTTTTTCATATTATTTAAAAAAAGTGGTGAAAATGGTTTTGTTATTGATGATGTTGTTGATGGTTTTTCTGAATCACTTGATGTTTCATCACTTTCACTATGTTCTTTTATTTCTTATTGTTGGTGTACTACTTTCATCACTATCTTTTAGTTTTACTGTATAAGATATTGGTTTATCTTCATCGTCATCATCATCATCATCATCATCATTATCATCAGCCGTAGGAAGTGCCTACATAAGAAATAGAAAATATTTTAATTAAGAAAATTTCTTTTTATTAGTTTACTTGAATAGCTTTTAATAGAATCAATTGAAATTCATTATCTTCATCAGAATTTTGAATAATTGGATCTTCACCTGAACGAGTATTGTATATATTTCGAATTTCTCGTGTAGTCGAACAACTTGAAAACAAAAAAGTAAGAGATTAGATTCTATCATAGAAGAAAAACATGTATATGTTTATACCCAGGATCATCTTGTTCATGAAGAATCGTTTCAATTAAACTGACATTAACCATGATTTATTAATAAAACAAAAATAAAATTAGAAAATCTAAAACAGAGAAAAAAAAACAATACAAGACAAATCACAAACAATTTAAGCTGTTCTTTTTCGTTTTCTATTCGATTTAAGAGATAATGCATCTTTTAGTTTTGGTTTATTTATTGGTGTTTCAAGTGTTGCAACACTAGTATTTGCTACTTTTATTATTTTGCAACCAAGTTCCGCAAATATATCTTGTAATCTAAATGAAAAATTCAAAATAATATTTCTATATAATTAAATAAAACATTCTATTGTTTTATTACTTTGATAATGCTATCGAACTGCCCAGTGATAAACGTAGATTATCGATATCTACCGTAAAACGACAGATATATAAAGCTAAGATACATATATGTGCTGTTAATTTTAATCGAAGACGAGGTGGTACAGTACTAAAACAAAAGCAATATAACTAAGAAAAGATTGACCAATGAAATAGTATTTCCGGTTTTTTTTTTGTTTTACAGAGAATATCACAATTTCAAACTATTCAAATTTTCTTGATTCATAAGTTTAATATTTATCAAACTATGTAGGATTAATCATACTATATATATTCTGACTTTTTTCATCAAATTATATCTTTATTCAATGAGATTAGTACTTGAAGAACGCAATCATCATAGCAGGTTGAAATATTTTCATGAATTATATATATCATACATAGTGTGTAACACATAGATCAACATATTTTTTAAAGCTCTTCTACGACATACATCTTTCTTATCAGCATGAAAGCGAAAAAGTATCCTAAAAAAACAAAACATTCTGATCACGTTGCTTAAAGGACCTTGTCGAATAAGGTAATCTATTCAGAAAGGAAAAATCAAATATACCATGTTGTAGATCTTTTTATGGCGCATCGAATGGTATATAGTAAATCCTATTTTCGTAAGACATCAACGGAATTAAAGACAATTTACTGCTAGACGACTATAGACTAACACCCAAGCATGATAAGTTACTGAATATTGTGGCCCTTGATATTAGTCGCAAGTATTTGTAAAATATTTTTTCGCATATACGATTTTGTAAAATTTTGACGCTCTACAATCTCATACAAGTAGCATCTCCAGTCAATTTGTCATTGCGGGTATAGATGTGTAGTCATCTATCAGTAAATTGACTTTAGTTCCTTCGAAGCCTTATGAATACAAGATTTACTATATACCATTCAACGCGCCACAAAAAGCTCTACAATATGGTATATTTGGTTTTTCCTTTTCGAATCGATTATCTTATCCGACAACAGCCTTTAAGCACCGTGATCAGAACTTTTGGTCAGTCCTAAGTATTATACGTTACTGGTTAATTAAGATTTCATTCATCTTCAAACTAATTACAAAAATTCAATGAGAATTACATTTTAAAAACTTGTCAAAATCGTATTTTACACTTGCTCATAATATAAACTTTTAAAATTCATCCGACTGAGAAAAAAAAACTAATCAACAAATCAATTTTTTATAATCTTACTTGTCTTGTTTTCGTGTACGTTCATTAATATTAGCAATAGCATAAGTACGTAAAGCTTTATCTTGTAAAGCACGAGGAGCATCATCAGGAAACGGTTCTAGATGTAAAAACAAAAAAAAAGCCAAATTTTAAGAAAAATTCTAATTTTTTTTTTATAGAAATATTTACTTCCAGATAATCGTTTAAACATTGAACGTTTAAAAAATGCAATAAGATAATGCAAATAAAGAATTTTCGATGCACATTTTACACGTTCAGTATGATCAGTTGGTAATTTTTTCATTTGATCACAAACAAATGCTGTATACGTACCTTCTTTTGACCATCTTTGTATATCCTCTTTAGATGCATCAACTATTTGACTACATTTATCATTTAATAATAATAAATCATGTTCATTGAGAACTAATAAAATATAAAAAAACAAAGTTAAATAAAGCACTTAGATCATACTTAAAGAAGTATTGAAGATATTTTAATTCTTTTTAAAAATTTTAAAGAAACTTTCTTTCTATATGATCTGTTTATAAAAGTAATGCTCTGCATTTCGGATCATTCTTCAGCTCGTATAATAATAATAAATACACCTATTTACATCGGTTGAATCTATTTATCGAACGTTTGGTTTTTTTATACTTTTCTTTATGTAAAGTTATTTAAAGAGATGAAAACAAATAATTCTTATAGAAATTTGATTATTATCATATATAAGTTGAAGAGTGTCTTCAAAATTTATGAAAAGAAGAAATTAAAATATCTTTGTTACAAGCTAAAAGTAATCGTTTCGATACTAACTATCATCAAGAACAAAAACATCTTCTGGTTTTTGTGCATCATAATTTGGTTTTGGTATTGCCATTTGTTCATCATCATTAAATGAACTTATATTATTATTAATTATTGTTTCATTTAATTGTTCATTATTTGTATGACGTACTTGTTCACGTGCAGCTGATACAGCTGTTTCGAGAACATTAACTTCTATTGTATTACGTTTTTTTGAATGTACGGAACGACGTTTTTTTTCAGTACCAAATTTTTCATCAAGATCAGTTCTCTAAAAATGAAAACAAAAATGTTTATATAAAAAAAAATCTTTTTTTTTTTTTCTTCTTACATTAAGTTTATTATCTTCATTATTTATATTTTGATCATCTAATTTTATATTGAAATCTGTTAATTTTGGACGCATTGTATATAAATGAAAATTTGATGAAAGATGTATATGACCTTGATCATCAACAAAACCAAGAATACCACATAAATCAGATGATTTTGTTGCATGTCCTTCATATGTTAAATCAGCTGTTTTTATATTTGTTGTTGTTGTATTAAATTGAATATCAACCATATCTTCAGCTGTTATTTTTGGATTTTGAGGAAAATGTACTGAAATAATAAAATTTATAAATATCAAAATCAGATTTCGGAAATCTGATTGTTCCGAAGATAATTCTTTTGCAATTGATCATTCTACATTAGAACATAGTTTGTTACAGTGTGTTAAAAAATCTAATGGAAATCTGATCACTAACAAAAACATTAGTATCTTAATGAAAGGAATCCATTTCACATGTATTAACAAATATGATATTTTCAAACAATATTACGATGTTTTTCTAATGAAAACACAAAAAAACTTGCTCTAATCATTACAAATCTATATATAGCCGATGTTTATTGATTACTTACCAATGGCAAATGAATCAGTATTACTCATGATAAAAATCTAAAATAATACAAAAAAAAGTGTTTATAATAAAATCAATTTAATATTTATTAATTTATTTCATAATTAATAATCGATTTATTCATTTTGCTAAGTTACAAATTGAGGAAAGAAAACAAGAGCGTCGTAGTCTTTCAAATAGACAAAACATGATAATAAAGTAGATTATATTAATCCTTTACCTACTTGTACTAATTCAATAGAGTTCATGTTGAGTCAATCATGCAAATAGTTTATACAAGTGTTGATTATGATATAGATACGTTTCCAGGATCGTATTGAAATTGTTATTTGATCTTCCTCTTTATAGTAGGAAATCATCAGCTCTAATTCCTAGTGCTATGCCCTTGCTTCGATAGCAATTCATAAAAAAATATCTATCAATACGAAGTTATTTAAAAATTGCTGTGAAATATTTGTTCTAATGAAGATTATATTATTAATGATAATTTTAGAAGAACTACTTTTCATGTTACTGACTACAAATGAATCATAAAAAGATCTAAATTGTCATACAAAATTCTACTTTTACACTTGTAATCAAGACATTTTTTAAAAGCTACTCTGCAAAAAACACTATTTTCTGACTCCTAAATTCTAGTCAAAGAGTTATGAAGAGAAATAACATATTTTTTTTTTACAAAAAATGTTCGATAGAATAATCGAAAGCTGTTACAATCCGATGCTAGATAATTTTGATGAATGAGAGTAAAAGATTAATTAGTTAAATCAATCATATTCATAAAATTGATTAAATAACAAAAAGAAGTTTTTCTTTTTTTTTTTTAATCATAAATTTTACATGTTAGTGTTGAATTGAATAAAAAATTTTTTTTTTTTTTTCTATAATTAAAATCATCTTTTTTGATCAATTTTTTCAAGAGAAATTAATCTATAAAAGAAATAAAGGGAATACAAATATTTTTAAATATATATAAATAACATACGGTTTAAGTTGTTCAGCAAATGTTTTCATTTCATCACCAACTTTATCCTACAAAACAAAAAAAAAAAGTTTTCAGATAAGATATAGAAATCAAAAACTGCTTTTTTTCTGTTACATCATGCATAGAACCAATTAATGACATTTCAACAAAACATGAACTTGTAAGTGGTCGACGCATTTGCATTGGATTCATATCAGAACGATTACGTTCAGCTAACTAATTCGACAAAAAAAAAAAAATTTTAATTTATTTCAAAGTTTGCTATTATAGTTAATCTATTAAAATTGAATATATAATATCAGTTTGAATGAAATAATTCTCAAACATTTTGTCATATAGAACGAAGAGTCTATTGACAATGTCTTAGGAATTTTTTCTAGATTTCATATCGTTCAGTTTAATAGAAGAAGACATTTCATTCTAATTATTTCACAGCAACGTGACTTATGATGGGTGTTTAATGTATCTGTCCTACTGATATCAAATATCTATTGATTAATCTTAAATCTGATTTTTTTCAACTAAAAATAAACGAAGTAACAAAACAATGTAATAATATTTACAGTTGAAATTTTAGCCACGATTATTTTCATTCTTCCTTTTCGAAAAATATCACCTTTAGCATAAAATTCATAATCATATATAAAACCAAGTTCTTGTAAAAATGCTTGAATATTTTTTGTTACACAACAATCATGAAATTGTCGTACACTAACACTTTGACTTTTATCTAATTCAGCTGAAGCAACATAACGTAAATGATATATTGGATTAGGTAAATCATCAAGTGCATAACGAACATGTAATGATACACTTGAT